TAATTCACAGCGCTCTGCCGCTCTTTCGCTGTGAGTCATGAGCTTCCCAGGAGATTTACAGCCAGAGGCACGGATCTACCTTGAGTCAAATGGAGGGGATGGTTTCAGCCCAAGCCAAGCTCCCAGGTGAGTCTGGGCGAGGCAGAGATGAGCAGTCATTGCACTGCAGTGCATCTGCTGCAGAAAAGTTTACCCACAAAGTGGGTAAACCCACTCTTTCCTCTCCCATCCCTTGCTCCTTATCCTGGTCACCAGTTCTTCTGAGCTGGTGGGAGAAGTCTTCACAATGGGGCCTATCTTCTGCTACACATCTGCATGGATGTAAACACTGCATTCCCCCAAAAGAATGGAGCAAATAGAGACAGGTGATCATACCAGTCAACAGGATGAGAGGGGTCGTCCCACTGTTGTCAGAAAATTGTCTGAAAACAGACATTCTTTCCTAGGAAAGCTTTTCTGTGCCTTTCTGTGCTTCACCTTTCAGGCATGAGTGAGGCTGAGGGGCAGATTGTCCATATTGTGAGCACTGTGGGGCCCTGCACAGCTGCCTCTAGAGAAGCAGTGGAGTTTTCTGGCTGAGGGCCAGTTTGTCCCAGTCCCCACGCCTAGACCATGTAACACCGTCTTATTCACAGACATGCTGGGTTGCCTTTTCCAGGGAGAGGAGGAAAGGGTGACTGATGGAAGGAGATAAGTCCCAGGCCAGGTGCAGGCAGTGGGAAGTCTCAGGCAAAAATGGGCAGCAGTGTCTGGGTTATTCAGTGATGGGAGTCAGAGAGGAAGAGTTCTGTCTCATTGAGACCCTGACAGACAGCACAGCCACCATAATTTTCTCCCTGGTGAAGGATGGGTCAGGCCAAGAAAACTTCTTTGCTCAAATATCCACATACATCCTTCAATGCAATTGAGGCTCAGGCAGGATCTCTACTGGCAGGAAGGAAACACTTTTTGCTGTCATATTTTCCAGAGGACTAACTTAGACATAAAATATTTACAGCTCCCTCTTCAGAGAAATCTGCTTCTGGGACAATCTTTCTGTGCTGAACAAAATTGGAACTCTGAAAAAAAATACAGAGGGAATCCAACCAGCCTCTCACTGAATTGCTTTCCTCAGGATCAGACAGGAGCAGGAAAGAGGTTGGTACAGTGGTGGTGATGTCGGTGACTATGGGAGGAATTGATGGCAAAACCAGACCTCAGTGACCTGTGTGAAGGATGCCTTCTCCATCCTTCCCTATCTGACTTATTATAGGGGTCATGGCATCCTTATGTCATCCTTATGGCATCCTAATCCTTCCTCATTCAGTTCAGGGCTGACCCAGCACCTTTGCTTCCTGTGCCTCACCAATGCCCAGATCTGATCTCCCCCAGCTCTGTATTTTTCTATCCAAGGGCAAGCCCACTCTCACTCCCATGGGAATGCGCAAGTCCTGCAACAGTACTGGGGAGAAGAGAAACAAATCTCTTTTGTCTCCTTACAGCCAGCAGTCTGGTGCCAGTTTATGAGGGTGTGACGATCTCTGCCTCTGGGCTCAGCCTCTAATGTCTTCCATTAGGATCACAGAAGTCAGCCAACAGTTGCTTTCTGCTGATTTTCTCCTGGCTGTCTGCTCTTCCCCGTGAACAGTGTGGTCTGATGCTGTGGTCACTTCATGCTTCACTTTCCCTGCAGGTCCCTTCTCTAGTTGCAGGAGGATCTGGATGCATCCAGGGCAGAGCCCACCTGACACAGTGTTCCATCTACCCAGTGGCATGGGGGAGCCAGGGCTGCTCCCAGGGCATGAGGATGCTGCAATTATAACCCCCACCACTAATTGCACTGGGCAAGATTTTGGCCACCAGTCTTATCTAAGGCATAGTGGTGGGTGAGTCCCTGTTACCAGGTCCCTGCCTCATTCTCTTTGGTTCTCATGACAAACTAGAGAGGACCTGATGCTCTACATCAGAACAAACCCAAAAGCTGAAACTTCTAAATATCTCAGTAAAGAGAAACGCAATTTTCCAGCCAGGTCTACTTGCTACTTAAGAAAAAAAAGCCTGATTCCACCTGAAAAACGTCAGCATTGCAGCTGACATTTGTTCCAGCTGAAATGTGGAGCACGTCATCTCCTCTCCTTTCAGGTTACCACCTCAGTATTTGTTAGACTTTTGTTTTGTATCAATAAGAGGGTTTCAATTTGTGCATATTATTTAAACTCTCAGCAAGGAACCAAAGTAGCAATTATCCACCCCCTGGTTTGCTGATTCACGAGAGACTGACGAACGCTGATGCCACACAGCCAGCATGAGCTATCGGTGAGGAACAGCCGTAAAAAAAGTGTCTGCTCAGGTCAATTATGGAAGAACAGTGTCTGACAGGACGTGTCCAGCTGCATCCTGCAGACTGAGACACCTGGTGATTCAATCATCCCTTGAGGTGGTATTACTTTCATATGCACATTACTGAAAAATTCATCAGCAATCCAACATTGGTGGTAGCATTTCTCAAATGGAAACGGCTCCAGGTGTGGGGCAAAGAGAAACATAATCCAGTCAATAATATTTTCCCTGACTTCAAGAAATGATGGAGCAGACCCCCCATTTGCAGCAAAGTAAATGGATGGTGATAGCTCTTTTTTTTTACTATATGGAGCCAAATAACTGCCCTACACTTCTTAATAGCCAAAAAGATACCTCCAGTAATACTGACATGTTTGTGATGGTGCAAATGAACTGAAAACCTTCCTGTGGCTTTACCACCCACTTCATTGTAACAGTCAGTCCTACCCACGTTGCCCATTATGATTCTCTAAGCAGAAGTATTGTGGCTATGAGCTCTTTTAGGGGTTGCTTAAGAGTTTTTTGCTGCCATGAATAAACAAAGAATAAGCTTTCAATTCGATTAAATACATTAATTTTTGCCTGACACCCTCTGCCCCAAAGAAAGCAATTGCTCTCAGGCATTTTTCTGTTCTTATGGTAGAAGCATTCTTTGTAGGCCTAAGCAAATTGGAGGCACCACCTTCTAGGATTATGGAGCAATTCCATGTCTCTTCCCAAAAAAATGGTGCGACAGAGGCTGCACTTTCCCTTTATTTCCTTCCAGTAAGCCACTACATTTAGGCTTCCTCCAAAAAAATTATGGCGGTCTTTACTTGCCTCAATATCTCAGTCTTGTCTCTCCACAAAAACAGGCATGGTCCCTTGCAAACCGATCTTCTCCTCCCCTATGGGGACACTGCACCACACTGAACATAAGAATGGATTATCTGCAACACCAAGATTTAGGCTTTTCCTTCAAGATATTTTCATGATGGATGAAACATTGCATATGTTCCATGGATGGGGCCCAAAGGAGACCAAATCTACCTCTTTTCCCCCATGAGAAGCTGGAACAGCCCATTCTTGGCTGTCTGTGCCTTGTGCCATGCCAGTGGGTTTTCCACTGCTGTTTTATTTTCCCAGGCACTGGAGCTTGCCTACCAGTCTCTGCAGTTTTCCAAAGGGCTGTCGTTTGTGTCTGAAGTGGCCAGGATGCGCAGAGACCTCAGGGATGCTCCCTACCCATGGAAGTGCCTTGTCCCCTCAACACCTGGACTCATGAGGATCAGCAGCAGCTCCTGTAGCCCCAGTGCTCATCCCACTGCCTCCCAATTGCCAGAGGAATCAATATTTCCCTGGAAAATATCAACTAATCTTTTTTTTTTTTTTTCTCCTCCCTCATTTCAGGAATGTACCACTTCCAACAAAACTTCTGCCAGGAAAAGCTTCTTAGGTTGTAACTTTTAGCTCATGTGTGGAAAAACCACCTGGGAGGCAGCAGCAATCAGCAGTCAAGGCAGGACAATGGGGGGACCTCAGCTGGCCTGTTTTAATGCAGGTCTCTGACCTGAGCTTCCTACATCCTTAACCCTTTGGTTACAATCTTGGGCTGTAAGTCTTCTTTCAACAAAACTAATAAATCAAAAAACATATAGATGAGATTTGATCCTCCTGTGAAGCTGGGGAGGGGCAGGGGTAAGCTATATAAAGCTCAAAAAGTGTTTCTTCCCAGCCTTAGCTCAGACTGTTTTACTCCCAGGGTAAGTTCTCCACACGTTTCCCGTGATGCTGCCAGTCCCAAGCCAAGATTGCAGCTCTGCAGCTCAGCTCTGGGTGACAAGAAGGGCTCCAGGGGGTATTTAACAGCCTGCAGCCAGACTGAAATGCAGAGGTGATGGATGTTCTGTGCTAACTCGGCTCAGCCCTTCCATTCATCCGTGCCCTGCCCAGGCAGCAAAACATCACATATGGCTGAGACTGCTTTTCCCTACTACCACCGAGTGAGTCCATCCTCACAAACAACCATTCCCCACCAAAACATCTGCATGGCAAAACTCCTGTTCTTCACATCTCATCCTGCTCACCAGTTCTTCTGAACTGGTGGGGCAAAGGTCTTGTGCTAAACATCTACCCAGCTGCAAGCACTGCACTCCTCTGAGAAAGCAGACAAATGGAGAGGTTTGCTCCAGGCAATGGGATGAGAAATTCTGTGGCTGCCTAATTCTGTCTGAAAACAGACACTTTTTCCTAACAAAGTCTTTCTGGACTTCACTTTTCAGGGAGGAGCTGAGTGGGAGATAGTCCATATCCTGAGCACTAGTGGGGTGCTGCCTCTTGGGTTCAGGAAGGGAAGGAGTGAGGTGGATGGGAAGTTGGTGGGGGGCTGCCACCTATCCAGAATTTTTGTGAAACGAGCCCTTTGTTTCCCTTGTTTTCCTTTAGCCAGCACCCAAAGTCAGACAGGTATCTCCAGCACCATCCCACATTTTGTTTTGAACAGAACTTTATCTTCTTTACTTTGCCATTTTACTGACAAAACCAACAACAGAAAGTAACATTGATTTGGATACACACCCGAGTGTGTTTCCTTTCCTCTTCCAATTCCTCAGATCAGTAGCCAAACCAAACACAGTCATCCCCCTACCTGCTCTCTGGCCATCACTGCATCAATAAATAACAGTGCTCCATTTCCAGCTTACCTTGAGAGGTCTCTCCTTGCACTGCCAGCTATATCCAGCTCTCCTGTTGTGAGTGTTCCCAGCCCCAGAGTCTCCTTCCCCCCAGCTGTGTGGCTGAACCAGCTGCACAGAGAAGGCTTAGGGGTCTCTGTTACAAAACTGGGCATTGGGTGCCACTGCTTGGGACACGATTCAAATCTACGTGGTGGCGGAGTTATTCCTGGTTTACATCAGTGTGTGTGTGGGCACAGGACTTCGTGCAGGGAGCTAACATGAGCCTTTGACATCACTGGTTAAATTTAGGGAATTAGCACAGTCCTAAAATGCTCTGGAGGGAAGCTACAGCCAGGCTGACAAGAGAGAGACAACACCCTGCAACCACCTGCCACCCAAGCACAGGGCAGGGGATGGAGCCAGGAGTTTCTGTGCCAGCCCCGCTGCCATGCTGCATCATCCATTAAAAATAACCCCCCATCGAGGTGCACTCAGCTCTGCTGCAGCACAAAAGCAGACAGGTTCCTTAGGCTTGCCCATGCCATGGACAAAGGGACCCCTCCTGAAATCCCACAGCCCCATGAAGCTGCTGGTCCTTGCTCTGCTCTTCAGGGTAGAAGGTTGTGGAGTGACAGAGGTGCCCTCACATGGTGGGGATATGGCAGGGGAGGTAAAGCTGGCCAAGTCCCAACCCATGGATTCCCCCAACACCTCGTGCAGCTGGGAATCCCTGCCCCAGAGGATGCTGCAGCTCTCACTAACTAGAACAGCCACAAGAGAAGAGGACCTCCGAAGAAAAGGAATGGGAAAAAGTCACAGGAAAGGCAGCCTCCTCCAAAAGATGAAGAGGAAACTCTAAACCCCAAGAGAAATCTCTGAACCCCAAGTCTGTCTGATGTGTGTATAGCTGGGTGGAAGCTGTAGCTGTGTAATTGCAGTTCAGGTTGGTTTTGGAAACCTCAGTCCAGCCAGAAGATGGCTTCTGCAGTTTGTGGTGTCTTCCATAGACACTCTACTTTTCTCTTGATTCTTTGCTGATTCTTGCAAAAGCCTCTCTAATCTCTGTGTGAAGCACATCCCAGAAAGCTATTACTGCAATAACAGCTTTGAATTTTCATATGCCTTCTGTGTGGAGATTGTGAGACACCCAATTCAAGAAGACCAGGAGCAGCAGCTCTCTATTTCTGAGTGTACCATCTTGCACAATCAACTGCCTTGCTTTGCTGCAGTCTTGTGGCTCCTGAAAAATGGAGACTGGAGTATTTTGGGTGTGAGGAAAGAACATGTTTGTTTTCCTGAAGGAGTAGCTCCGCAGCCACCAAACAGACGGTGAAACCACAGCCACAGGAAGTGCCTGATTCCAAGGCAGACTGTGAGAAACAAGAGAACCCTTAACAGCTTTGTGAGAAACAAGAGAACCCTTAACAGCTTTCTCACTACTCGTCACTAGCCTGTGCTAATTGCAAAAGGCAGTGGAGCCAAGCAGGCTGATGGCACTCAAATCCAGCCTCTTGTTTTTGGCATTAATGCTGCCTAATATGCTAATATAATCAGTAGAGCTTACTGTTATTGTCATGAAGCCTTTTTCAGATCTTAATCAGATTTATTGGATATGTGGGAGGGCTGCTGAGAGTATTTCCAAATTTCTCTGTCTCGAGGAAAATCATCCCCATAGCTTCAGTCTGTAAAACTGCGACATGCTTATGGGAGGTGGAAGGTTCAAGTCCAGAGTATTCCTTCCAAAGCAGAGCTCAAACAGGCCCTTATCAGCACTGTACAGTGGAATAATATGCCCACTGCATCAGGGATGATTCTCAAATAGTTGCAAAATTAAAATACTTTTCAGAGAAAAGTCCAAAAGTTTCACTCTTGGAACACAAACACCTGCCATCTTCAAGGATCTGGTACCATAACTTTCATTTTCTTTCCAACATTGCTCTTGTGCATCCAGACATTAATTTACAGGTTTCACAACCACTTTCATTGTGCATCATTAGGCCTTCAAAGGCTGTGACCACTGAGAACATCTGCTGCAATTTGACTCTGCAGCTAACAAGAAAGACAAGACGTTGTTCTCAGATCAGTCATCCCTCTGCCCTTTGTTGTTCCCACTTTGATTAATGTTTTCTCTTTGATGCTGCTCAGGGACACGTTACAAGCACCTTCATCTTCCCACCTCCCCCTGCAGCCCCTGAGCGTCACCAGCCATTTCCACCAGGGCAATTACCTCTGCCAAAGGGCACCTGATTCTACCTCACAGCTTTCATGTCCAAACGTTTGAACATAATGAACTTGATGGTGATTAGTGTAGATCCAAGCACGCCTTGTGAAGAGCCATGGCGGTTATTAATGTAAAAGGTACTCAATATACTATATTATACTAGAACCAGGTAATGCCAGAGCAGAGCTTCTGTGCCATCATAGCCCACAGCTGTCTGCCACAAGGAATCATATCAGGAGATTGTGCTGAACCAGCTGAGGTAGATCTCACAGCTGGTTTCATCTTCTATATCCATTTTTACTCTCAGAAGGATGTTTTGATCTTCTGATGGTTAAGGGCATTCTTCATCATTTCCAGTCTAAATACATTCATGTGCAGTTTATATCCATTTGTTCTAAAACCTATGTTCTATTCTAGTTTAAGTGATTTGGTCCCATTCCCTTTTCTAACCCAGGAATCTATTTTTGAAAGAGCAATTGCAACCAGTATATACAGCAGTAAGCTGTTTTATACATTTTGGCTGGTATGTCCTAAGGCTCCGACATGTAAACATTCATCTGCTTGATCCTATTCTAGTATGTAGTCTATAAAAATTAAAGAGGCTACTTGGAAACCAATGAAACATAACTTTGCAAGAAAATTGGTTGTGTAATTAGCTGCATCTATGTGTATTCTGAATCTAAAACATATGTTCTTCTTTTCAAAAGTATCATAACATTTTCTGTTATAATATTTTCTGTTAAGAGAAATTAATACCCTTTGACTTGACTTCTTTCATTATGAAATTACAGAGCACTATGACAAATTAATATAATTACTAAGGTTTCAAAGATGTCACAAGCATATCTGAAGCTGAAGTGCTTTTACACTAATATTGTGTTAAGTAACACAAAAGCAAAACCAAAACCCTTCATCCAGAAAAACCTTCATCCAGCAAGATGAAGAGTTTTCTTTGCCAAGACAGCAAAGAATCTGCATCTTTAATGATAACAATTCCTTCTCACTCAGTGTGCAGCACTCTGTCATTTCTGATTGCTAAATATGGATTTTGTATGCAATTTAATAATGAAAAGCTAAGAAAACTGTGGCCAAATCAACACCACATCACCCAGAGGAGTAGAATATGTGATGTATTTACCTACACATGCGTTAGCCTGTAGCTAGCAAAAATGTATTTATTGAGTGATAGAGCAACAAAAACTTCCCATCTGCTTCACCTGCACAGTACCTGGGCACAAAACTGAATTATTATTCTGCATTATAATGAACTTCTGAAACGGAAATACCTATTTCAGATAAAACTTCTTTGCTGTTTTTACCAACATGAATTCCTAACTCTGACTGCACAAGCACAGCCTCAGCCTGTAGAAACTGGCAATATGATGTTTCAGTGCAGAAAATTAGTTTCTCTTGTGCAACCATACCGAGCTCTTTCCTCTTCTAACCTGTGTGCTGGAGCATAAAGTGAGCTTCAGCAGCTCCTTCCATGTCAGTTCATTTGATTTCTCTCTGTGTGTAGGGATAGACAGAAATCTTTCTCATTGTCTCATTCTCTCTTTCCCTGACCTAGGGTTAGACAGCTGGCTCGTAGGCAAACACCTTGGCTCAGGTGTCAGCCCTGTGAAGCTGCATCCAATGTCCATTGCTGCAGAAATGCCCATACCAAACAGTGTTTGAAGTCCTATCCTCAAGGACTACTCTGGGAGTCACACTCCTCATTTTATCCCAGATCAGAGAATTTATGGGATTTTATTTGTCTGGTACATGTGTACGTCAGCTTAGGGCTCACTTCCCCTGCACTTCTGTCCAGTGCTTTCAGCAGTGCAACTACTAAGCCAGTCCCAGACTCCTCCCCTGCTAGCAAACCCCTGCATTTCTAGCTCATTAAACAGTGTCCATATTCCCAAAAATACTTTTTTCTTATTTTCAAGCAGTTTTTGTGAACAGTGAGCAAGAGCATTTCCAAAGGATGATTCAGCCAACCAGCCCACCAGCTCTCCCAAAACAGATGACTATCCCACCAGAGGTGCCCATTCTCATCCACTGATTAAAAAGAGAGCCTGAAGCAAGTACTTTAGACTTGAATATATTATTTCTGAATGTCCTAAAGCAGGGACCAAAATGGTTTTTCCCCCCGCAAAAACAGGATTTACAACAGCAGACTACTTTCAAAATTTTATAACTGGGAAAGGGTACACACATGAGGTTAGGTTTACCTGTTTTAAGCTCTAAAATTCATCCCAGAAGAATGAAGGAGCCTGCTTTCAGGATGAAATTAATGACACAAAATTCATGGCTTGGGATGATTTGATTCACCCTCAAAAGCTGCATCCCTCTCTCATCTCACTGACACCAGCAGATGGACAGTCAAGAGGGCCAGAGCTGGGAGAAGGCGGCCACTCACTGCAGTCCCTGTGCTCCAAGAGAGCTGGAGCTGGGGCACCTTGGTCAGCTTTGGTTTGTGTTTCTTGTGTTTAAAGGCTGTGATCTTTTAAAGTCTTGTAAAGTCTTAAACTTCGATTAGATTTCCATCCCAGTGCCCAGTGACCTGCTTGCAGAGCTGAATTAGGCATGCACACGTCCCTCCTGTGCCTGTTAGGTGAGGCGTGCTGATGAGCTAGGAAGGTTTTCTCAGGAAGAGACGGTGTTCTGCAAACTGTGTTTTCTTCTGGCATTTTTAGATGCTCTGTGGTTTCCCTCTGGGCATTTTCTCATCTGTTTTTGCTGCTGGCATGTTCAGGCAGACTGAAGTGTCAGTGAGCATGACAGAGGGATGCTGCATGCAGAGCTGCATCTGCACAAAGCAACAGCCAGCTCTACAGAGAAACGCTTCTCTACAGACTGGTGTGATAGAAAAATGTTCCTTTGCCTGCTGTTAAACAAAAATATCACAGTGAGTCATCCACAAAACTCTAGGGAAACAAGAAGGACATTGTGACTATTCTCTGGGCTGCAATTGATGAT